GAATTTTCAATAAGGAGAGTTTGATATGTTTTTTTTGTACAACAATACCTTTAGAAAAATAACAATGCCAAGGTCAGAAGCATTTAATGCATCAGTAGAATCACACAAATGATGAATGGTATCTTCATTTTACTAAAAATCACAATAGAATAAAACACTTAAAAAGTTCAAGCTTTGCATTCTGTGCAAACTGTTCTTAGAGCACTGTGTGCAAAGGTTGTATGACACTTTAATGAAACTTTCATAACACACCACTGTAAATACAGCCATGTAATAATAACATAGTCAAAACCAATGATGTATATGTAATGAATACACAGCCTCTGTTCAAATGCAAAAATAATCTTCTCATAAAATCAATAAACTCCTATAAATAATCTGTCTGTTGCAGGAGGTGAACGTTCTCCTAATGTTGCATGTGTGAAGGACAGTGCTCCCAGTGGTGCAAGAATAACAAGTTCATTAGTCGAGGGGGGGGCGTCGCAGGAATTCAAATTCCCCCCCGACCCGGGCCTGGCCTCTGATTGGCTGGCTGCGTCAGCATGGCGAGACTCATTAGAGCCCAGCAGTAATTAAGAGTTGTTAGAAAGTGAATTCTCCAACCGCAGATTAGAAAATTAAACTATTTACTGATTACATATTAATAGAAGACAACAATGGCGCTTGCCATAAGCTTGGAAGGCAACCAAGGAATAAATCTGTGTACTTAATTACCATAAACAATGGGGGCATAGAAATGGAGTTTTATGCACACTCCCTCCTGTAATGTGTCTGATATCAGAAGACACTTGACAATTCTTGTTCAATTATCTCTATTATTTAATGTGCTGTGAACTGCCTCTGAGTAAATAAATTAACCACCCCAATTACTTTGGATTCATCTGGGGAGGGCTGTGGCGTAATAGAAAATGCCGCAGAAAGCTGCATTGTGCCCAAACTAGGGGAGAGAGGGGGGAGGAGAGGAAATGTGTGAAAAAAGAGGGAGACAAGGGGGAGCAAGGGTGAGAGGAGGGAAGGAGAAATAGAGATTCACAGGGATAAAAAGGAACAGAGCAAATATAAAGTGATGCAGAGAAGCAGAGAGGAGACATAAAAAGAAAGACAAGAAAAAAGGAGGAAAGAGAATACTGATTTAGAAAGCAGAAAAACAAAGACGTGACAGGATAAGTTGCTTAAAATGGGAAGAATTTTAATAAAAGATTTTTTTTTTTTTTTTTTTTAAAGGGGCTGATTCCATGTGGGGAACATTATACATGCATGTGTGAGCAACATGACAAACTGTGTTTATAGAGAGAGAGAGAGAAGAAAGAAAAGGTTGCAGGAATGACAAAGCAAAAGCATGTGATATCAAAGAAAAGGCATATTGAGGACCAGCAGAGCACAGTGGATCTTCCCAGGCTTTCTGCTGGTGGAGCAGAGAGATGAACAATCAGTCATGGGTCAGTCGGTCTGTCTGTTCACATCTGCCCATCAGTCCTGCAGTGCTGTGTGCTACCACAGCACCACTGCACACTGAGCTCACCCAAACTTACCTCGAGAGGTCTGAATCATATGATCATATGTGCTGCTATGACTGCTCGGCACAGCCACCCTGCTTAGAGAGCGGGCTCTGCGTCTAAGAACGAACTGCTCACAGTTGTGGGGAGAAACTACACGCATACACCGCATCAAAAAATATGGCTGAATCTAAAAGTGTTAACGTGGAAACTGTCGATGACACACTTAGTACATACACCTAATTCTAAAAGAAGCTGATCATTAAAGGATCTGTAAATCTCTCAATACATGATTAGTAGCTACAACCTTCTCTCTCTTTCGTCTTCATGTCGATGTAATCTTCCCTCAAGTTTCACATTTTCAACTGAGTTTATTATATCATCTTTTTCTGAGATCACATCTGAACTCGTGCTCAATTAAAGTACTGGATGGTTGTGTCAGATTTTATTTCCATCCAAACTTTCGTCTAGAAAGCCCTTCACAGAGAAGCTCAACTGCCGTCTCAAGTTTGTTTTTGTGTTGTATTTCATAAGCACACGCTTTAGTTTGGGTGAGGAAAGGAATTAAAGTTGACAGTGGATTGGCTGAGAGGTTGTTCTTTGTGTGTCCTCCTTCACTGAAGTCACAAAAAGAGAGGTGTGAAGGTTGATGACAGCCCGGCTTAGAGAAACATCAGTAAAAGAGTTTGAACTGAGGCTGTTCTCATGTGTAGCACCAGTACAGACAAGACAAACTGTATTTAGTCTTTGGTTACTTTGGGCTGAGACGCAGGACTAGTAGAGGCAGCTGATACACGCTGGTGGTGGATTTTACAACCACACATCAGTTCACACAATCCTTTTGGACTATACAAATATACTGCTGTAGCCAAAAAATTAATCAATATTCATTATGTTCAAAGAAATACATTTGACAAACACATGTGAACTGTGCCTAAAAGACCCCACAACAGGCTTTTATATGATGATTGGCTCTGTTGAAGTTTAATCAAGCTGATTTATAGCCAATTCGTCTTGATAGGAAGTCTTCCCCAGAACATTTATTGGCAGCCGAGGAAAGTGCTGCTCAAGATTTGCAGAAAGTAACATTCTGTGAAATTATGTGGACTTTGTAGGTCCAAAATTAAACCCGGCACTTGGACATCTAAGCAGATATTGTGGAAATGAAAAGGAACTCTAGACATTGGCAGGGCTTCAAAAGTGTGACTGGCAGAGTTAAAAAAACAAACAAACAAACAAAAAAAAACATCAACATTAGCTGGTAGCTGGTGGTAAATTCTCACCACGTCCCCTTGTAAGGTGTACAGGCACCAGTCAGATGGTATGGATCAATACCGGATGTTTTGCTAACAGCCAATCAGCCGCCACTTCAATCAGGCGTTCAGGGTCCAGAGAGAAATATCTATCATCTATGACAGCCTATAGAAAGGTGACCTCAGTTGCTGAGGTGATAAAGGTTACTTTAGTGACCACCTGTCACTGGCACATCTCGCTCCGATGCCTCCAGACCTTGGCCTAAAGGCGCAATCCATAACCTATTGGATGAGTCTCTTGGATAAGTGCTGCAAAATGAGATATGGAAACAGAAATACACTTTCAGGAAGTGAGCAATGTGCTCAGCATCATGTGGTAGGTTTCCCCCTCTCGCTGCACTGCGATGCCAGTGTGGAATTGATGCCAATTTGAGGGTGCCCTAAATACTGAAGGATGTCTCACAGCTGAGCACCGTCTTACAGATGTTGTACATGTTTCATCACTGACCCAATGTGGCACATGAACAATGTCATAGTTTTCTAGTTTACAACACACACATATATACTGTGTGTGTGTGTGTGTGTGTGTGTATATATATATATATACACTGTACTACATCACCCAGTAGTCAGTGTGTTGACTTGTTGAAACCACCTTTTCTCAATTTCATTCCCCACTGATGTTATAAGAGGGTGAAAAGCAACCAAGGTGAATTCCTTTTTCGTGATATCCTTTTTTTTTTATTTTTTTTTATTTTATTTTGTCCTCGCCTTCCCTGTTGTCGCCCTCTTCCTTTTCTGGTGAATCCTATTTTTCACGATGGGACCACAGGTATATTTATACAACTATATAAAGAGAAATCTTTATGGCTGAAGGTGTTTGGAAGTAAATAACCTGGCGTCTTGCTGGCTAGCGGCTGCTTTATCAGTGGGCGAAGAGGAAGAAGGAAAAACAGCCCTTCAGATTGACACAATGGCATGCGCTCCAACAGGGGAAGAGGGCACAGAGGCAGGGAGGGAGGCAAAAAGGAGGAAAGCGAACACAACAAACAGAGGAGAGATAGTCTCGATATCAGAACCCAAATAGGATGGAGAAGGTGAGCGCAAATCCCACCGCCCCAGTTTCCTTTTCTAAAACCTCCTCTTCTATCCTCCCCTGTGTTGCTTTTTTTAGGATTTTGGGGGATAAATCCACCAAGTTAGGTGCTGATATATCAGACAGAGCATGAGAGCTGCTACTAAATTACTACAGCGAATACTGCACCTACACTTTCAGAACATTTGCAAACATCAAAATTTAACACTTCCCGGGACCAGGTTTTTTTTTTTTTTTTTTTTCCCTCCAACCGAATTCTTGAGTGAGGAACGGGACGGTTTAGTATCACAAATGGGATGCTATTCTCCAATTTCAGTTAGGGACTTAACGGAGCCAAGGCCCCTCTTTTGGCTCGGCACACTGTCTCATGTCTTAACAAGGCTTTACCCCCGGCCAAATCTTAAATAAAAACCTTCCGAATCCGGCTCCGTACGCCAAACCAGATTGCACTTTGTATGCACGGGTGTGTAAGCATTTGTGTGTGTCTGTCGTGGATTTGTGAACTGTGTCAGTGCTCATGTTGTGTTGCCGTGTTTTTTTTTTTTTTAAACATTTCTTTGCCTCTCCCTCTCTCCTCCCTTTAACTCACCCCCGTCTTTCCTTATACAGCATATCAATGAAGGCCAGATATGTACTAAGGGAAGGAGGGTGTATGTGTGTGTATGTGTGTAGCTGTGCATGGCTGAGCGCACTGTTCAATAGTGTGGAGGCTGGCTGGCTGGGGCCGCAGCTGGCAAACGGCTGCAGCGGAGACTTCGGCTGGGGCTCCGCTATCGCACCCAGTTATCGTTTCCCCCATGAAGGGCTCCCTTATCACCCCAGCCCAGAGAGGTCTCCCTTCTTCTCCCATCCCCGAGACACACTACCCCGCACTCTCCCTCCCCACCCAACCTTCCCCTCCCTTCTCCACCTCCTCCTCCTCCCTCACCCCCATCCCCTCCTTTCATATCCACCCAGCGCTCCGTCGCTCAACATTCAACCGAGAGGGGAGAGGGAGGGAGGGGGTGGGGGGCTTCAAAGATTCTCTCTCACACAAACGCACACATAAATACACACACACACACACAAACTCCCCAAGTGTACATGCGTGTGTATGTGCGTGCGTACGCTCAATTTGCCAAAACAGTTTTTCCAGTGTAATTGGGCTTGGGGTACCTGTGTCCATGAGATAGCGCAGCCTCTTCTCCACGCGAGCTGCTCGGGCGTCTATGTGCCTCTGCTCGCTCTCCAGCGCAGACAGCTCCCCAACCACATACTGACTGGTGTCTTTGAACGCCTTCTGTCAACCAGAGAGAGAGTGAGTGTGAGAGAGAGAGAGAGAGAGAGAGAGAGAGAGAGAGAGAGAATGGTTATGAGAGAAAAGGAAGAGAAGTGCGATACGGCATTAAACAGAGACAGAGGGGAAAAAAAGGATGGAGGGATGAGACAGAATGAGGGAGAAGAGAGAAAAACAGAGATGGAAAGAAGCAAAAAAGGTGATGAGGGTATATAAAAAAAAAAGAAATGAAAAGAGAAGAAATAAAGCAGAGGGAGGAGGAGAGTGAAAATGTCTGAACAGATGTGCAGTGTCTACAAATCTTTCCTGGAAAAAACAAAAACAAAAGAGAATTTCCCCAGAAAAGAGTTTAATTTCACAACAGATTATTCATACAGCTTGAGAGTAACTGTTGCTGCCTCTTGTTTCATCTGAGCTTTGTTTGGCATTTCTGAGTTCCTCTCTTCATCTTCAAAACCACTTTATAGCTGTATTATATTTTTATTTATAATTTTTATTTTAAAAAGAACAGCAAAGCTCTAAATAACCGGATTAGAGTGCTGTGAATGAAGACATATTCAAGTGAATCTTTATTCACACCAAACTATCAAGGTAACACTTTGGAATGCAAATTTAAAGCAGTTTCCTTAACTGATCATTGGTCACTTATCAATAATTGATTTACATAAAAAAACCAAAAAAAAAAAACCCAAAATGCTTGTTTCTCAATATTAATAGTAAATTAGGAATCTGAATCATAAATAAAATTAACACTTTAAACCAATTATTTGAAGCATAAAGTAAATAGAACAAAACGTCGCTGCTCATCAAACAAACATAATAATTCGTGTTAACTTGCAGGTTTGACAGTGTGAAATTAATTAGATGAGACTAAACATGTAGGAAACTTGAAGGCAGCTCATTCTTGTAAAAACGAGAGGGACCGTAGTTGCACCTGCTAATGTGATCAAGTAGAAAAACGGTTAGCTCAGGCTCCTGACAACAGAGGTAAATCTATTTTATTTAGGAATGTGTGTATTCATGTGTTTGGGCATTGGTTGTTGTGTGTCGTCTGTTCACTTTAAGTCGTTGTTGGTCAAATTTGGAGAACCAGTTTTGCAAGAGTTGATAATGAGATGGAGGGACGGGTAAAAGAAGCAGGAGGCGCAGCTGAACTAGTTACTTAAGAGAGGCAGGCGACAGGCGCTTACTTCATGATCTCAAACATCTTACGTCATCGAGGTAACACACACCTTTACTGTGCCGTACCTGCATCAGAGGGTCTGATCATAGTTGTTGATGATGCAGTTATCCAAATGGATTAATTATCGATTAATCGGTAAAATATTCCTAACATCACTTTTATCTTATATTGGATAAGAGTTTGTGATCAATCCAGAATCAATACTTATATCATGCTGCATCCAGCAAATAATGATCAGTCGCTGACCTTTGCCATTTCATGTTTAACTGCTAATTTATTATTTTTTAATAGTGCACATCCCTCATGTGGTAATTACCAACCTGCATAGCTCTTTAAACTAAACCTTTCATTAAGATCTCTGTAACACACACACGCACGCACACGCACACGCACACACACACGTCACTCTATAACCATAAGTACTTAATACACAGTCCATTTCTGACCCCTCTTCACCTCTGTCTCCTGGCTACTTGCTATTCTCCAGAGAAACTCCTCTGAGTGAGGAAAATGTTTATTCAAATTCACCACTGAGGATGCATCCGAAAAATATCTCCATTTTATTGCTGATGCACTTCATTTTTCTTAATGGGAAGGAGAACTAGTGAGCAGGAGAGAGAGAAAGTTTTTATTTCATTCCACCCAGGCCAGCACTTTTTCCTGTGCTCTTTCCAGTGTGTGTGTGTGTGCATCTGTGTGACTCTGTGCACATGTGATTTGTGCAAGTGTGTGTATGTGTGCGTTGGCTCCCAGCAGCCCACCGCCCCAACTCCCTCCTCCTCCTCCTCCTCCTCCTTGCGCGCTCTCGCTCTATCACCATATTTTTCCTTGGCAAATCAATTTTACACATGATCAGCCCACTCCCCTTGCCGCGCTCAGCCCAGCCGTAATTAAGAGGAGGGAAATTACCATATATATTATATTAATGCAAACATCATTCAGCAGGTAATTCTTGGCTGATCGGGATAATGGAAAGGTTGAACACCCATTAACCCTGGGGCCCAGGCACTGGGAGGAGGAGGGTGTGTGTGAGAGTGAGTGTGTGTGTGCACACAGGACTGGGGTGGAGGGTGCAGGGTCGAGGGTAGGAGAGGGCTGCTTGGGAAGAAAGATTCACCCCATGGTCTCCAGTGGCACGCACACTCGCATCCACGCTCATTGAAATAATAGCATTCTTATAGACACGCTCTTTGTACACACACAGTTCAAACACACGCTGAGAGGAGAGTGCGAGCTTGTGTATAGACTTGAAGGACACGCTGGCTCACAATTTCTTTTTCCGAGACACACACATGCACCTCTGAATGGCAGAGAGGCTGATATCTACCATTATTATAATTAAAACGGCAGTCTGTTAGATCAATACTTAGATGTCTGTGCAGAGAAGAGAGGACAGTAGAGAGAGTGCGAGTGTGTGAGAGGTGGACAAGGTGAAGAGGAGGAGATGGGAGAGGACAGATTTATCTAAGACAAGACAGGAGAGACAGAAAGAGAGCTGACTAATAGGAAATAAAAAAAGGCCAAGAGGGAGCAATTAAGAGACATAACCTCACTTCTGACCCCCCCCCACCCCTCTTTCACTTTGCCATTTTTTCTCAGACTTGATCATCTGTCCATTACAGACTTCATGAGGCGACGGCTTCAGGCAAAGCAAACCTAAAGAAACTCACAGAACTCATTTTTTTTGGTAAAGATTTTAAAACTTTCTTCTGTTTTTCCCGTCAGTTGCGGCAGGTGGGATAACGTTTTGTTTGTCTATTCAACTGTATCTCTTTGCAAACAGAAGCATGATTTAGTAGGAAAAAGAAATGGGGACAAACCTCCTCTTCAAATGGTCTACGAATATCGATCTCTGTCGGTGAACCTCTATCCTCCTCAGCCTTCTTCAGATCCTCAGGGATAGACTTTTGTCTCTTCACCTCTGGAGGGATGAGGAGATGGACAGATGTTAGCGAGGAAACAATCTGGTTTGAAATTAAAATGCACATAGAAGTTGAGGAATTTACACTTGGTTGTCAGTGATCTGTCCTTGCATATAAATGTTGTTTAACACACTCAGAGTGCAATATTGGTGGTGGAGTCAGTGAGGTGGAAATTGCCGTCAATTTTTAATATTAATAGACTCACTTCTACTTTTTTTGTGTGTTTACTGCTGCTGATGCTGATATTCTTAAGAAGGTGTCTTTAAGAAAATCTGCTATGCTCCTGTTAAAGAATCAATGACGATTACAGCCTCCATTTCTTTGACCGAGCCAAAGAGTTACTTTACTTTTTCCGTATAAAACTTAAAAGCAAGTTTGCGGTGAAATCTTGAAATGTGTATAAAGACTTGAGGAAATGATCATGCTGCAACAGATAACCTGAGAGTTTAACTGTTGGTTGTTAAACTAAAGTAAAGAAAATTAAAGAAGGGTTTCTTTGGAAAGCTGGTTTCAAAGCAGCAGACAATGAACAGGTGAATCATTTTTTTCAGAATTGAGCCCCTGCTTGACAAAATGTCCGCACGTCCCTGCTCTCAGGCGTGAACTGGATGTATGTGAGCCAAGTGTTAGTGTGTGCAAACATACCTCCCTGGGTAAATACTGTATGCATTGTGTGTATGCATGTGTGCTTGTGTTGTGTTGTCCCCCACCTGGTCTGCTCTCCACATACTGGCTGAAGGACTTCAGCTGTGTTTTCCGGACTGCAGAGTCCTTGCTGAAGACGACGGGGCTGCGCAACTTTTCTGTTGCTCTGCGCAGCCGCTCTGCTCGCAGCTCCTCGGCGTTATTCTGTCACACAGAGGAAAATGTGCATTCAGTCTCAACAAGTACTAATCTGTTGGTACTATATGTCGCAGGAACATATTTTGGTGCATTTGATGGTTATTTGTAAACATATTCATCAAGAAATCTCAGCTATTTTTGATGCTGCACTCTCAGTCACTCTCACAATTTGTTCTCAAAATGTAAAAGGTGACGTTGAGAAATGTGTAAAAACGCTAATCAATGAATAAATTCAACATCAGGAAGTACGCAGAGACAGATCATCTACAAACAACACACAAGCACAGCAGGCAGAAACACACACACACACGGATGGAGTAGTTGGTTAAACTTCAAATTACTGACTTTAAAAAACGTCAGCAATTAGTCTTCTCCCTCTTCACACCCTGTGTATTATCCTGTCAGCCTCTACCAGCCACTTAGATCTGCTCTCAAGCTTTTATTAGGCAGCCGTTTAAGGATTTCACAGCTGCTGTATGATTATTGTGACCAAAACCACACACTCACACATGTAAACACACCTACTGACAAGGCCATGAGATAAATCTGGTAGAAGTTGATATGTTAGCTACATTGTCGTTGAACACCTCTGTCTCTCTCTCTGTCACACTCTCTCTCTCACACTCTCGCTCTCACACACACACACACACACACACACACACACACACACACACACACACACACACACACACACACACACACACACACACACTCTCCCTCACTCATGAGAGAGACAAAAAGGAGGCAATTAACTTGACTTTCAACAAAACCCCGAGCCAGAAAATATATTCAGATTATGCAAAATGCAAAAAAACGCTATTGTTTTCAAAGTGAACATGTGTTAAAAAGCTACACGCTCGCTTCTCCCACTATCAAGAAACGGCATGCAGAAATGTTTTATTACCAGGCCTCCAAATATGCCAAGCCGAGTGGAAAAGAAACCGACTCGGGCTAAGATTGACGTTGTGGCAACGTTAATAAGACGGCGAAACATGTAATAAAGTCGACAATTAGGGCAAACATGTTCCACTGCTTGAGACAGAGGGAGATAGTCAAGCAGAGCAAGGACGACTAATAGAGACAGTGTGGGCGGGGAAGACGCTGCAGACGGGGAGTTGTTAGTTTAGCTTCAGATTATTGACTTTCAAAAACAATGTCAGCAATTAGTCTGTTCTCACTTGTTTTGTCTATTAGTCTGTCAGCTTCTACCAGCCACTTAAAACCTCACGTCAAGTCAAATCGAGGCAAATTTATTTATGAGGTGCTATGAACAAAATGCCCAATTAAACATTTTAAAACATAAGGCCAAAGCTTGGATGTGTGAACGCGCTTCTGTTTGTGTGTGTGTGTGTGTGTGTGTGTGTGTGTGTGTGCATGTCAACCTTCAGGGCAGCACCAAGACAATCCAAAAGAGCAGAGAGTAAATTTCAATTCCTGATTGTGAGAAAAGTGAGGAAGTGAAAGATTGGCAGGTAAAAATCTTCTCTCGTTACACTGCTAAGTAGCATCTGATGGTTTTTACTTACTTCCTAAAAACTGAATCTCTTCATCTTTCACTGAAAAGTGACAATCACAAAAATGTGTTGTTCTGGTTTCCGTTAATGTTAATGTTACGGTCCCGAGTGACACTTTGTAAAGAAGTTTTGGTGGATAAAAGGTTGATAATCAAATGAGGGGTCATCATCAAGGAAACAAACACCCTCACTGAGCCACACCTGCATCAGAGGGTCTGATCATAGTTACTCACACTGAATTGATGCAGTTTTCCCGACTGATTAATCATCTTTTACCGTCCACTAGTATCAAACACTCAATCCAGAATCAATACTTTACGGTACCTCCAGTAAATGATGATCAGTCACCGACCTTTGTCATTTCATGTTTAATTGCTAACTTAACATTTTTAATAGTGAACATCCCCCATGTGGTAATTACCTGGTGCTCTTACTTATCTTCATTTAATTCAAAAAGGAAAAATAACGTGATAATGATTTCTCTAAACAAACAATGTCAAATATGTTTGCCTTCTGCTTTTGTGCATATTTGAACAGATTTGTTAAGATGCATATTTTTTGCAGTGTAATTTATCCACTTGCAGGTTCTCCATAAACTAAACCTTACATTCAGCTCTCCTTAACCCCATAAATACACAAACATCATGCGATGTGATGTGAACTGCCTGCTCTGCTCTGAGTGAGCTGGGTTCTCTGCTTAAATCACAACAACATATAATCTGTAACTGCAGCTCCCAAAGAGCATCAAAGAACCACAAGAACATCATTCCCAGGTATGTGGAAATGTACTAACTTACTACAACAAATGGTGTGTGTGTGTAACACATAGGTGTCACATAGGTAGAGCAACTAAAACACTGTTAACTTCTGAGCATGATTTCCACTTCAGCCTCCCACTCATCACATGATGCAGTCAGGGTCCTAGAAGTTGCTGTGGACAGGAATCCATCAAGTGGTTGATTTTCTGAATATTTAATCTGCTTGTTTATAGGAAAAGTGTAACAATCACTGATAATTGGATGTCAAAGGATTTATTGGATTAATGTTGCGGTCCTTGTCATATTTTCATGAGAAGGATTTGTTTTTATATGTTTAGTTTAGTGACTGGTAAAAAGTGCAAGCCTCTGCAGTATCTACAGCGAACTGTTTATTTAACAACAGGCTAAATCCCTGAGGAGACTGATTAGGACACCGAGGCTGTCCACCCAATTATCACTTATTGTTTAACTGTTGTGGATCTGACTTGTTCACTGGACTACAACCAGAGGTTAAACAGCTACTGCTTCAAGGTTAAACTGCTGCCACGTTACAACTGGACCTTGATGAACACCACACATGAACACACCAAAATGATGCTGATCGAAGACAGCAGCTCCACTGGCCTTTAACACCTTCTTAAAAACTAACTATACAATGTCTTCCCCTCTCAGTCTCCCTCTCTCTCTCTCTCTCTCTCTCTCTCTCTCTCTACACACACACAGAACACCTGCCCACTTGGCTACCCCTTCATCTCTCTTTTAGGCTCTGGGACAAACAGATATTGGATTGTCCCCTCCCTCCTCCCATCTTACTCTCAGTCTTTCACCCTCTCTCTCTCTCTCTCTCTCTCTCTCTCTCTCTCTCTCTCTCTCTTATCGCTGCTATCATCGCTGTGGTAAGCTGTGGCCGTGGTGATTCAGTGCTTTCGGTGTGTGCGAGTCTGTGAATGTGCATGCAGGGGGCTGCGTGACTAATGTTGCAGTCTGCTGAGCGTCGCATGCCCTTATCGTGCGCCACCGAGGCTGCGCATACACACAATCACTAATGAGAGGGTGAGTGAGTGAGAGTGTGTGTGTGTGTGCGTGTGTGATGTTCCTGCAGGTCGTTCCACCCGCCTGAAGGACTTTTGGGATGCTCAATCCTCTTGGGACAAGACAGTTTCTATTTTTTTTTTTTAAAGGACAGAAGAAGTAAAGTGACATCTGCATACACACAGACACATTTATGTACATGTGCACCCATCAGCTGTAAAGAGCTTAAGACACAAGTGATTTGGTTTAGTTGTGTTGAGTGTATTTTCATTTGGTGCAGCTTCACATTTATATCACACTGTGAAACATTAATGGCACCAACATGGAGGTAAAATAAAGCGCTAGCTGAGTGCAAATAATGGCTAACTGCATACAACAGCTATAAAAATGGAAAAAGACTTCAGAGAAAAGGTAGTTCTTGTGTGAAAAATTAAATAGTGTGATATAGAAGACTTTTGTAATTTAGGATACAAATTAAATGCTAGAAAATTCAAAATTCAAAATTCTTTATGAAATGATCTTTGAGTTATTGGTATTGCTTAACAACCCAATTAAACAACTATGGAAATACTATACTATACATATAGTATATACTATATTATTTTTTTGATACATGACATAAGACTTGTACCTGTTGCGGATTCAATCCTAAAATGCAACAGCCAACCATGATTGTTAGCTTTACAACAAGCGGCTGATAATTAGCCGATTAGCTGATGTAGTTCATCAACTATATTGACCAATTATTCTAAACCAGTCAAACCAGTAACAAAATCTCTAGTTCGAAGTTAAAAATGTATTAGAAACCATACTGAATTATGTCATGGTAGCCAGGTAGTATGTTTGAAAATATGATCAGCTGTTAAATAGAAGCCCCGCCCACCTTTATACACTGGTGGTCTATAAGTTGCAGACCGGAGATCTGACGAGAATCAAAGGTCAAATATTGGTCAGAGTAAGAAACTGAATGTAAACACTTTTGGGTAAAGTGTTTCACATTTGGTTTGGAGTCAATCAAATGGTGATTCTACTTCTGCGAGGGTCAAGTGGGAACACGCACACATACACACTCTTCTGGCCATAAAGGACTAAGCCTTTTAGGCTTTGAACACAAGAGGGTGTTTATGTGAATTGATGATCAAAGACACCCTGTGTCGCCATAAGCACAGAGGGTTTTGCTTCTACTGGCAGCCATACACACACTCACACACACACTCACACACACTCAGTTACTCACACAAACGCTCACTTTATACCACTTGACATTCAAAATCAATTAAACAGATGTTAGGACTGGTCGACTGCGTTGTTGACTCAATATTCACATCTGAAGATATAGACACATGCAGCAGCAGCAGCCCCCCCCCCCCCCCCCCCCCCCCACCTATCCAGACACACAGCAACTGTCTGAAAAGGTCATAGTCAATAGAGGGGACTGCTCCATGTTATGTAGAGCATTATGATGCCCCTGTGTGTGTGTCATGGCTTTAGACAGACTCATATGGACACGAGAGGGATAAACCATAGTCTAACATGAAGTGATCCAACTGACTGATGTGTACACAGGGTCAGCCGGCTGACAACCAGGGTCAATCGGACCTGATTGATTGGACTGACCCTTTGATGGTGTGGAGAGAAGGAGGGAGAGACAGAAGAAAAAAACTGAGGCAGACAGATAAAAGGAAAGCGAGATGGAGAGGAAAAAAAGATAGAGAGAAAGAAAATAAGGACACCCAGTGGGTGTTTTGAGGTGGTAATGTGTGTACCTCGAGTCCTTCTGCAGGGCTGAGTGGGGAGGTGGAGGAGGCAGTGGGTGAGGATGAGGAGGAGGTGGAGGATGGGGACGAAGGGGAGGTGACTCCTCTTGGGTTGACCTCCACCAGCTTCTTCAGCTTCAAGTCCACATGTTTACTGTTGGTACCTGGGAGAGAGACCCACACAAGGATAATGAGTACAAACGTGTGTGTATCCATCAAAAAATAGGATTAAATGTAAGTAACACAAACTACTCTATAAAACACAGACATCTTAATTGTGCACAGGCACTGAACGTCACATGCACATGCGCACACACAGACTGACACGGTTAAAAAGACGAGAAAGAGGAGACAAGTTTGCATTCATGTACACACACACTCGGGCAAAGCCATTGATATGGAACATATACACACAAACACACAAGTGAGAAGAGGCATGAAGCATATATACTGTATATATATATATGATGTGTGAGGAAGATAGAGATCTGGACAGACTAGGCAGCCTTAAGTCCTGTTTGTACTGCAGAGAGCTACCGAGGTATTGAGTGTACATTGCTGGGAGTATCACCATGGTAACCACAGGGCAAGATGGAGGGAGAGAAAAAGACAGAGGGTCTCATTTCTTAAGTGTTTGTTCTCTCACACTCTTTTTATCAAGAGTTTATAATATTTCGTCTCTCCCCACTGAGAAAAACAAGCAAAACATTAGTTTTAACACAAGTCAACAGCGCTACAACCTAAAGTGATTATAAAGTTAGGTGTTCCTAATAAACTGGCAACTGAGTGTACTTTATCTTTTTCAGTAAGATACACCAGTAAACTACTTTTTTATCATGTCAGAAACACAACCAACTGACTCTTCTTACTCCATCTGTCAAACTTAAATTCCTGCCTTCCTTTAACTCCCTCTTTCTCCTTTTCTTTCCCTTCCTTCCTTCCCTGCTCCCTTAGTCCCTCTCTCTCTCTCTCTCTCTCTCTCCCTGCCTTCCAGTAGTTGTGTACAGCTTTATTTTCCAGGGACTGGTAACCACAGCTCCCCTGCCAGGCCAGACCACTGCACTGAAGAAGATGAAAGAACAGGAGGGCAACCGTTTCATGTGTCATCTCCCCCATGATGCATGCATACAGAATCCAAACAGAGACACACTCTATTGAACTTGGAGTATATGAAGGAATTCACACACATACACATATACATATGCAGTACACACTAAAACACACATGAACCAAACACAGTGGTGGGGATGTGGGGCGAATGACCTGGGTAGTTGGGAAATTATGACAAAAACTGAACACTGGAGGGGAAATATTTACAGAATGAAGTGTGGTATCAGCTACTTTAGTTGTACAATCATCACCATCCATTTTTCTTTCAAGAAAAATTACCACCAACAAAGAACGAAAAAAGAAAAAAGAAAAAGAAAAAACACGGTAAGAGAGAGAGAGAGAAAAAAAAAAAACTAAAAACAAATAGCACAGAGATATTGCACTTCAAAGCTGGAGGAAGCATTTGTCTGTTTTCATGTTTGTTTCTTCTGGTCCCTCACTGTACCTCTCACCTATCTCACATCGCCAGGAAATTGAGGAAGCAAATAAAATAAATTAAATACAAAACAAAGTAATTAGTTTACCTCTGAAGATTTGAGCAAATGCTTTCCTGAAGATATGATTTTATTTTTGTCTGGGGAGCACTTTTCAGAGTTTATTAATTACTACTTAAAGACGTTTCTAAAGAAAGAAAATGGGGAGGAAAAAAACAACAACAACAGTATGTCAGCAATAAACTAATGTATACTGTGTTAGTTCCTCCAGTGTGAAGCACCGGTGGGTGTAGAGCCAATAGGAAGCAAAGGTCAAGGGGAAAAGAGAGTAGATAATAATTAATGAAAGATGGAGAGCGTGCACCGAGGTGAGTGACTGAATGACAGAAGAGTGTGTAAGTGAGTCACCGAGTGAAGTGGGTGAGTAAAGCTCAGATCAGACGGCCAGTGTGTTCAAATTTTGATGAGGGCAGTTCAGACTACACGACTGGTCTTGAGTAAATGTTTGCACTGCACTGTGAAGGTATTCTTACTGGGCAGAGGAGATAAGGTGTGGGGTAAAAAAAAAAACTGAGTGTGATATATCATTATCACAACAAATCTTCAGGATTCCTTTTAGATCTCGTCAGCCTCATCAAACTGCATGACATCCTCATCACACCTCTGTCCTGTCCTCTGACCGTGAGGGAGTGCACGTGATTTAGGACATTCACATTCAGGTATATTAGCAAGCGAGTGAGTAATAATGAGTGAGTGATCGAGACAGAGAGAGAGATAGAGGAATTGTTAATGATTGTGTGAAAGAATAATTCAAAACTAACCACTGCAAAGATAAAAAAAAAAAGCCGAGGCAGGTAAATTAGTTAGAAAAAAGGCAAACATGACAAAAGAACCATGCAGCACCACACAGCTTCAGCCACTGATTTTACCCAGAGATGTTAGCTCAGAGCCGGGGTTAGTAAGCTCCAGGGGGCCCTGGGTGTTGGAAGTGGTTGGAAGCGGGGCCTCCAGTGGCAGTGGGTTAGTAACCAGTGCAGACGCAGATGTGGCCGCAGCAACAGTATCATCATCATCATCATCATGATCATCATCACCACCACCACCACCACCACCAAAATGGAGCTTCTCCTCCTCAGCCCTCCCCTGTTCCTCATCCTCACCCCTTTCACCATGATCCTCATGGTGACCTCTCACTCCGTCCAAAACATCTGTGGGTACAGAGCGGGAGAGCGGGAGAGACGAAGGGGAGGAAACATGGAAGGGAGTGAGTCAGGGAGACAAGAAATGAGAAAGAAGATTAAAGAATGAGAAAGTAAAGGTGAAGATGTGAGGAAGGAGGGGATGAAGTGAGGAGAAGTAAAAGGACGAGTGTTAAAGGAATTAAAGGTCAAAATGAAGACACAAGGAGGAGGGCAGAGAAAAAAAAGTTTGGTTAGTTGGTGTTAACAGAAGTCTGAATACATGTGAAGTGACCTGATTCAAACATCATCAAAACCATCCCCTCCCTTGATGTCTACATCTCCCCTCCAGCACTGCGGTGCACTTGATGGGATGATCGCTGTCACTGTTTGCAAGTTTATCTTTGCCCTTTCATTTAGTGCATTCATGGTGACTTTTAAAACTTGGTGAGTCTGTGCAGGATTGTGTGTGAAACTAATTATAAAATATCTACCCAACTAGTACAACTAACCAATTTATTATCCTATCAAATTCATGGTATGACAAGGCAGCAGACTCCACCTGAGTGACAAGGAGGGACTTTGATTGATTGGTGTCTGTGTATCTGTGTGGGTTCACGTGCAGGGGCGAGAAAATATCTGACACGCAAAGTGAAACTGAGAGACCTCTGTTGAATTTCCCTCATTCAAAGATCTGTTGCCATTGTTTTTCTATTTCCAGATAAAAGAGGTAGAGCAAACAAAAACCTCAAAAACATGAAAGCACACATTCCATTAAGTCTCCTGAGGGGCTCAATAGAACAGTGTCTCTACATTAGGAACAAAAGACAAAAACATGTTAGAAGGAACTCAAATGGAGACCTGAGCAGCTCTAGCTGCATGGATAACCCACCATGGATTAAAACAAAACAATCAGTAAACAGCGTCTGACATTGCAAGCTCCCTTCTCTGCTATTTACTACTTGGTGGGGAGAGGGACCGAGAACAAAGAGGGAAGGAGAGAGAATCAAACTAACAGCATTTCCTGTTTTTTTTTTCTTTTTCCTAATTTGCTAGCTGCGATGCGGAGCGTGCTAGCAAGCGCCGTTCCTGCGTGGCTGGCTCGGGCCTAATTAATGGGAGGCCATGGTGATGGAGTTTGGAAAGTTTCTTTGCGGGCAGACACTTGGAGGGGGCAGCCCGAGCTGCATTAAAGGACCGTGAATGGTGTTGAGGGGAGAGAGGGAGGGAGAGAGAGAGAGAGAGAGAGAGAGAGAGAGAGAGAGAGAGAGAGAGAGAGGGAGTGTGGGGGCTAGGATTAGCCGTTCTGCTCGGGAGGCCTTGTGTATCACAGCCCACAGCATTTCTCTCTTCTCCTCACCTCCTCCTCCCTTGTTCCGTTCTTTCCTCCAACTCCATTTTTAATGAGATCAACAATTAGTCCAATTCAGAAAAGCTGAAAGAGCAAATAAATCAAGTGCTACCCTCCTTCTGCCTCACTGTCTTTCTTCTGTCATTTTACCTAACAAATCGCTGATCTCTCTTCTTCTTGTTCAGGGTTTGTCAGTTTTACATTTAGTTTGTTCATCCTCAATCAATTATTTTCGATTAATTGTTTGATTCTTTTTTTTTTTTTTTTTTAAACATTCTCCACTTCCAGCGTCTGCATTGTGAGCATTTTCTCCTTCTCTGTTTCACATGACATTAAACTGTAGCTAGAACAATACAAGACATTGTAAGAGGTCACCTTGTGCTTTCTGAAACTGTAACAGGCATTTTGTTTTTGTTTTTTTCATTCCCTACTTGTCACTTATACCTGACTCAACCTACAAGACGCCATGTCTCCTGTTCATCTATGGATCCCACATTCTACCACTCATCCTCCATCACCTCTACTTTCACAATATCAAGAGCCTTCCTCTCTCCTTCTCCTTCTTCACAATGACACTTCGTTTTTATCGCCGTCTTTTCTGCTTCTCTTCGTCCTCACCTGTCTACACTCTCACCTTCCATTTTGCAAGCACTGCACCCAAACTACCTGAATAGTGCACGCAAAAGAGGGGTGTTATGTGGAGGAATCTGAAACAAATGACAAGAGAGGCCTAATAATAGCCATTATCATAATAACCCCAATTTCAGGGAAATGGAAAGCAGTGGGAAATGCGCATGGCAGCATTTGCTACCCCTGCAAGCCGTTATTAGAAGTGTTTGGTATTTTGAGCATAATTTGGCTGCACAATGTGTTGTGTTGATTAACAATTACTGGGCGAACAAGACAAGGGAGAAGTCGCAGGGTAAATTGCTGTTCTGAATATGAGGGTGGTGCTTTTTAGACCCGCGGCCGTTGTCAAATGACATTTTGTTTTTCTCTGAGGATTAGGCAGAACCCCTTTAGAGAGCATAATGGAAATGTGCGAGTCGTAGCATGTGTGTATGAAGAAAGTGAGTGTATGTCAAAAGCATGCTAGTGTGACTTTTCTTTTGTATTGTAGTTAATGAGTATTAGTAAGCGTTAGCAAGTGTATGTGTTAATTGCAAGGCCTTATGATCAAACAAAGTATGTTGACGAGGACGCATAAAGTGTAAATGAAAACGCTGTGTGCCTATAAAGGCTAAATGTTCATGTTTGCAGTTGCTGACTTTGACTGTGTGTGTCTGTGTGTGTGTGTGTGTGTGTTGACGGGGTGTACTGACCTGCAGCAGGGCTAGCCTTGCCGCCCTTCCCTCTCTCAGTGCTGGTAGCGTCCAGCAGGCTCATGTCAGACATCTTGACTCCGGATCGAGCCTCAGCTATCAGCTGCCTGGCTCGCTCTCTCAGCTGTCTTCGCCGCTCTGCATCACGCTCCTGCACAAACACACACACATACACACGCATACAAAAAATGATCAAAAGAACTTCCCTCATCCTTGTAAAGGTACAGGTAAATGTTAAAAGTTAAAAGAAAAATAAATCATGCAGCAGGAAATCCCTAATCTTAGATGAAGTGTTACATAATTTAAAATTCTTCTTCACAGTAGCGACACATAAGTTTGTATTGAATATTTTTTAATAATACCATTAGGACTATCTTAAGAATGTCATCTCACACACAACATCATGAAACCTTCACAGACACAGCGACTAAAAACAAAATAAAAAGTTTTGTTATCAAAATGGATGTACACATCTTACTGCATTATGGAGTTAGCAGTATAGACACACACACACAGACCATCCAGGCACTAGACAGATACAGTATTGAGCCGTCACCATCAGAGTAATGGCAGAAATGCCATTTTCAGGGCGATCCAATCTGATCCCACTGATAGCACAGGCCACCACACACACATACACACACACTCACAGAGCAAACAGGAAAACCTTGATGATGTCAATTGACAAACACTTAACTGATAAAGACCCCAGCAAGCACACACAAGCACAGACTCAATGTACAGGCCGAGTGCATAGGGTAACCAGCGGGGAGATACACAAATGTCCGAGACAAGTAATTCAGAATATTGTTTTTAGGTCTAATGCAATGTGTTTTCCAGAAAATAAGGCACAAAAAAAAGATACAGGAGCAGAGAGAAACATATAATGAATTCAAAGCTGCTCTGAAAAGCAGATGGAGCAAAGTAATGAGGGAGCACACCGATTCAAAAGTATTCAGGCTGTGGAGTTGTGATATTTCTAAGGCTGGGGTCGTTGCAGTCGAAGAGAAATGCACTGCAGTAGTCAATTGTGGATGAGGCAAAGGTGAAACAATATTGGATATTGCCTTCATGAATTAAGCCTCTGTGACAAAAACAACAGAAGTTACGGGGCACAGAAACTAACACAAACTCGTCTTACACGATACATTGTAAGCACAAACACACGCAAACACTTACACACTCTGAAAACTCCACCTTACACACACACACACACACACAACCCCCCCCCCCCCCCCCCCCCCCCCCCCCCAACATACACAACCACCTACGACCCAGGGGAGAGGGAAGCTGCATTTCTCTGTCACTGTTCTCCCTCCCTGTGGTTTTCTGTTAATCAGGCTTCTCCATATTGAGGCAGGGGTTTTAGGGCTGGCCTACTGAAGCCGCCCATTTATCCATTAACAAAACAAGCAGCGCCCGCTAATGAGCTACATCTCTCCATTTCCATGTCAATTGTTTGCTTGTAGCCATTGTCAGGCCGGGACAATGGGGCTGTTTTGTAAATGACAGCAACCCTAATGCACTCTGTGTGTGTGTGTGTGTGTGTGTGTGTGTGTGTGTGTGTGAGAGAGAGAGCCCAAGGGATGCCCACAGGGGGAAGGGAACACACCTTAGAGAGAAATTGGTAAAGAGGGAGAGCGAGAGAGAGAAAGGCAGAAAGGCAGATGAAGAGTGAGGAGATGAGTGAGTGAATACTTCTTCCCCAGCTCTCAGTCAGCGCTGTTCCCGGCAACAAAGCAATGAATTAGGACATCCATGGTGAAAGAAAATGGGAGTTGGTATCTATGCACCTATAAACTTTTCACATTTTCACTTCACTTTTCAAAAAACCACATTAGAAAAGTCTTTTACGAGACAAAACTGAATACACAGGTAAAAAACACAAAACTATGACAACTAAATCTTGGCTATTTTGTCACGTGTTGGAAACAAGATTTCACAAACATGACTGACATTCAGAGTCCGGTTCGGTTCAACGTGACTCAACTCGACCTTTTTGGTTTTCCATTGGGCAGAAGTTGTGGATAGCACCTGGTAGCTGCTACTTTCCTCTCTGGTATCGCCACCGCCGAGGTTCCAATTGAGAGGGAACTATTTGTGGAAAAAGAAGTACCTGCTAGCAAAAGCGAGAAGGCTTGAATGGACTTGAGTTGGTACCACGTGGAGGAAAAACACTATTAGACTATCAGCAGAGGGCTTGGCATCAACAGAGACCTTTTACACTTTTTATACAGAGCGCTAAGGCAGAATAAAGGTGCAACATTCCCACTTCAAACAGGCTGTTTAAAAGGAGCTACCGAGTCAAATGCCTGGAAAAGTATCAGCATAAAAATTAATTGTCTTTGTTTATACTTGTTCTCTTTCTTTCTTTCTTTCTTTCTTTCCATTCGCATGTCCATCTGCCTGTGTTTTCTATGCAGGATTCTCCTTGCTATTATAAATGTAATATGATAAACAATAATGTCACCGATGGCCTTGCGGCTATGCACTGGTTCTGATATCCAATCTGGCCTTTACAGATATGGATACAACTACCATTTTAAGTGTGCCTGTGTGTGTGTGTGTGTGTGTGTGTGTGTGTGTGTGTGTATTTATAACACACAGCCCACAACACACTCCAAAACATCCCTATGCATTATTGTTGTCAGCCATTTTGGGGACAGGAAATAGGAAACTGACTTTGCCTATCCAGAGGCTAGGATTAACACTATAGAAAAATGCATCTGACTAGCTCCTAGCTCGGTCAGCTACAAAGCCACTGATTAGAAAATACAAGAATGAGAGGAGAGGAGAGGAGAGGAGGAGAGGAGTCGCAGATTCAACTTAAAGCGACCCTAGGTGAACCAAATGTTTTGGTTTTCATTATCAAACAGAAACACCTTCATGAAGTAAGTGTACAACGGAAGCTAGACTTTGATAGCGCAGAGACAGCGCCCACAGAGAGAACGAGCATGAATAAAACCTGCAAGACGCAAAACAGACTCCAACACATAAGCTAAAAAAAAAAAGAGAGCAAAGTTTATTTATCAACACATTTTTCCAGTGCGTTGTTTCGGTCGTTCAAATAAATAATGCAGATGTGGGAGAAGGTACGTTATTTCCATACATTATTTTGGGTACTTTAAAATTCCAGCTCTTTGTCGGACCTGTCACCCAACTGTTACCAACACTGACATCCCAATTACCACTCATTGTTCTGTAGGAACACGATATACCAGAATTTTTTTAAGTCACAGGGGGGGACTTGTTGACCAGGTGGTGATGAAACGCCACCTAGTGGACATTATGCTAAAACTAAGTCACGATCACGCTCGCTATTTCCAACTTTAAAAGTGGCGATGGAAATCATAACTAAGAGGGAAAATAAACACACAGAGCGACACAGGAGACTAACAACCAGTGGATGTCAAAGCCATCAGGACACAACTTTAAAAAACAGAGGAACTCACAAACGCAACCAGCCACGTCGTTACATGATCAAAGCCGGGATGAAAAAAGAAGAAGAGAAAAGGAGTGAAAGCGTGTCAGCTGGTGGTCAGTGGGTAGCACAGCTTCAAGAATGGAGACTCAGGAGGAGAAGAGACTTTTCTTTTTTAAATGGCGACAGCAAGAACAATTGTGTACTGTGTCTTCTATTGACTGCTGGGAACCTCCAGGGGAAGAGAGGCTAAACGGTTGAGTGCGAGGCGGAGACAGAGGGCTCCTCTGTGGGCTTGGCGTCGGGGTGAGGACCCCTCTCCGCTCTGGAAGCTCTTTTTGAGCAGGGGGAGCAGGTTGTCGCCTTGGTTGCTCTTTTCTGGGCAAGGAGAAAGAGGGAGGGAGGGCACGCACCACTGGTCATGTACAGAGACCTGGCGTGGGCATCGAGTGATGCCACACACACACACACACACACACACACACACACACAGGGATGAACACACAATCACTATCTAAAAGGGTTTGCCAACCTCCCAGATAGCCAGCCAGTCTGGCAGCCAGTCATGCAGTTCCAGACATTTGTCATGACAGGCTAATTCACAGTCAAGAGGTGCTTTAGGTCTCTATCTTGTCCAGGCACACACACATACTAAAGAGCTACAGAACACACACACACACACACACACACACACACACACACAGCACACACACACACCACACACACACACACCCACACACCCAATCACATAGCTGTGTAATCACACACTCATAAGCATTCTTTTAAACACCAGAATAATGATTCAGACAGGAGGCAGATGCAGCAAGAATTCAGTCAGTACCTGCTTTATGTTATTATACTCTTAATATTCACAGTAATGTAATACAAGAACAGAAACCAGATCACCACATGTCTACTTTCTGAAGATCTTCACCAGGAAGGTGTATTAATATAAGAAATAATTGAGTGACAAAAATCCCAAACTTAACTTCCTGCTCACCGAAACAAAGACTTATCATCAGGTTTTCTGTTGCTGCTGGACTTCATATGGCTGATTTCAAGCTGTTGCAGCTCGCCCCACTTTCATTACACTGTACTGTACCGGCTATGTGATTACTGAGGTGTAGAGGTGGGAACAAAGACGAGACAAAGTCAAAGCAGTAAACTAGCAGCTTGTTGAACCTGGGTCTCAGAATACAGACCGTTTACATTTTAAATGAGCCAACACATGAGTTAAATCAAAACATGCAAAATACAACATTTTGCCTTTAACAATGTTGTTAATTTTGCAATATCATTTTTGGAAGATTATTGTTGTACTTATAATTACTGTAAAATAAAGATGGGCTCTGCTGGTATCTATTCTACCATGTACCCCCAGGGTCATCAACACCTTCTTCGTGGCAGGAAGCAGATGGGGTTTATGGGAAATGTGGTTTTGTTTGAAAAACACTACACAGGCTTCCAATTGCATCAATTATGTGTCTACTTCGATTATACGACAATTCAGCAACAATATAAGCATATTTAAAAAATATCACACATATCATATTTAGAAGTCAATTATTTTCACTTCTCCTTATTGCTCAAATTTTGGTTGAGAGAGTGAGCGAGAGGGAGCGAGAGGGAGCGGGAGAGAGCAAGGGAGGGAGAGAGAGAGGGGGGAGCTTATCGGCTGGCTCCAGACGGAGTGCGCGGATCAATGGGCGTGCGAGGCCCACAGTGATCAA